GGCCTCTCCTAAAGTGGTTAAATGTTAAGACGCCTGTGAAGTAGTTTTAGCCCTCTGGTTGCAGTTCTACTCCCATTTTACAGTTTGGGTAATTGAGATAGCAGGGTTAAGTGAGTTTTCTTAAGGCCACAGAGGAAATCATTGCCAGAGCGGGGATGAAAAAGCAGAACTCTCTGGCTTGTAGCCTGGTACCTAGCAGCTAGCACTTTTAGTTCTGTGATTGTCCCAAGTTGAATGTTGCTGGGTGGTATAGATGCCTAGCCCCAAACAAAGCCCTCTTGGACCTCATCTCAGCATCCTTAATTAAGTGCTATTAGCCTCCATAGTGAGCCTGGTGAGCCCCAGGTTATAGGACCCAGGAGAATTTCTCTCTCTCAGGTGTGGAGAGAATGTGGATCCCTGTAGACTGCACTTCAGGAAGGGGCCTACAAAGTGGGGGCAGCCACTACGCATAGGAGATTGGCACGGGAACTGGTCACCATTTTCCCAGGAGTTCAGAGAATCTGCTTAGGCTCACACTGGATAGTGAGCTCAGGCATGGTCTATGAGTTGGTTTATCTGGATATCTTGGCTAGAGACATTGGGAAGGCATCTGAGCCAGAATTATTTTTCTTGTGGTGATAGCCAAATCAACAAATAACATCTCTTTAAAGAAAGAGCATATTTTTCTTTAGTGCTTCAGAGGAGTCTGGTGCTTTGTGGTAGGGCCTATCCACTCCTTTCCATAGATTTATTGGATCATGTACAATACTGATATTTTCAAGATACTGAAATGACTATCAAGTGTCCAATTGCAAGTTTGTTTATGGCTTCTTTGTAAAAAATACAATGAAGAACAGACGTTCTCTCTTCTTGACTCACCATCTCACCTTCCATGAGGCTTCTGTGTTGATTCCTAGTCTTCCTTAGCAATTTACATTTCTCCTATATCTTGTGAATGTTCTGTTTATTGTTCGTTTGCCTGTTTTTTGGCAGCTGTGGTGGGGATTGTGAAGGTTTTGTTGTCTATATACTTCCTTCCTGGCTTTCATTTTGGCCCCTTTCATGGTGCATTGGAGAGGTTTCCTGAATACCATTTTGGAGGAATTAAGGTCATGGAATGCCAGGTTTGTGTTTATAAAATACTTGTGCGGAATGACGGGTGGTGGGGAGAGAGCAGGATGGGAATAGTGCTTCATCAACAGAGAAAATATGTTGTGATTTCTTACACAGGCTCAACTGCAAGGGACATCCAGTGGGGTTTCTAGTCCTTTTCCCTGCAATGTTGCTGGAGTGATTTGATCATCCTGATACCATGGGTATCCAATGTAACTGCATATTTCTACTGAGGGTGATTCTACAATTTATTTTGGTAGCTTGTCCTGCTGTCTGACTTTTCCTATGGTTATAAAGATTTCCCTGCTGCTTTTTCAATCAATTACTTCTTGTTCTGGTCTTCTTGACTAATAAGAATAATTGATCCCTGTTGTCTTTATAACACTGCGTTAGATAGTGATCTTAACTCCCCTTGTTTTTTGCTTTTTCTTGGCATTGTGCTACCTAGGAATGGGCATCAACTGAAGTTAGGGTTTCTGCATAAGCGTCTGATCAAGCCTTAAAGCATCAAGCTTTTTGACACAATGCTGAAACAAATGTCAATGAAGCCTTTATGCCTGAAGCTGCTGACTAGTGGACTCCACCTTTCCTTCAGTTTACAAATCATTATCTTTGTGCTGGCTTGCTCCCTACAGATCTGCAGCCAGAGGGGGTTCTCCAGTTGCAGATCTCCTACTTTCTGCCTGTAAGGGGTAAGGGAATCTCTCAGCTTGCCCCATGAGTGATGGGGGGGGGAGAAGGAATGTTGGGCCAGGGAAAAGGGCTGTGCCTTTCTTTGACTATGTTGCTGGTAACTGCCAGATGGCAGAATGAGAGGCACTCTACTGGGCCCACTTCCACTGGAGCCTTTCCAGGTTGCTGCCTCAGAGCTGGGATTTGAAGAAACATCCTCAGGAGTTTTGAAAGGGTAATTTTTAATAGTCATTTCAAGATCCCCACCACATGTGGGTTTTTTGGGGTACTGGAGGGGATTTTCTCAGCTGCTCCTGAAGAAAATCTGTATAAAAAGGAAACCAATTACATGAGTGATTTTTTTGACTCAGAGATGACTGCTGTGTGTTGATACAATATAGTTCATTTTAGGCACAGCTGTCACACTCCATCAGTTGTCCTAATCATTGTGGAGGAGCTTAAAATGCCATTGCCTGAATGGCTGGACACTACTATTTGTGCACCGGCCTGCTTTACAGACATTAGTTTGTTAATTACAGCTTTAATAGGCCTGATTCTCCTCTCCTTTAAAATGCTATATGTCACTGAAGTTAAAGGACTTACACTGGTGCAAATAGAAGAAGAATCAGGCCTAATATTTTTACAGGCTTAGGCACTCCAGTGTAACCTCAACTCAAAAATGGCTGCTACATGTGGATACAATATAGGTGCCATGTTGGTAGCAATGTCACACACTAAAGGAAAAGCCAGGGCTCCATTTAATCTCTGACTCTCTTTACCCACTAAGAAAGGTTGGGAGAGTATTAGGCATGCAGCTACCCTACTTTTTCTGCAGATGTTTCTACATGATTGGATGTTTCTACATGATTGGATCAGGAGAAGGAGGTGAGGGGGGTGAAGAGAGACCTTATTCCTCTGTGCAACCATCCAGAAGCAGGGCACAGTCTAACCGTCATAAATTTGAAGATTTGTCGTATTTACCATTTAATTTTTGTTCCAGTTGGAACTGTTTAGAAGCCAGTTTATTTTATTTGTTAAAATTGTATTGGAGACCTATTCAGTAGGTTGAGAGGTTGCTTTTTTTTTTTTATTTAAAGAGCTTGTCAAAATTAGCAGCTGCCTAATGAAAAATAACATGCATTAGTAACCCAAATACAAAGTAGTAGTAAAGGAGGGATTTTTGTTTCTCACTACTTGGGCCTTCTTGGATACGTATATATGTTAGAATGGATATTACAGAAATAAGACATGATCACCTGTAAGCGATCCAGTCTGATGGAATGCTTACTTTTCCTTAACCATTACTACTGGTCACTCCATTACAGAAGCATCAGGAAGTTACAGAAGAGTTAAGACATAGGAAAAAAATCCAAGAATATCAAAAGTGAGTCTCTAATTTAAAGCGAGGTAATACTCTATAGTGTCTTTTAACCCTCTCCCTCATTTTAATTAAGTATTTAGGATCTGAATCTAGACTGAAGTCAATGTCTGCTTAAAGTCAGTGGAAACTGAGGGTGTTCAGCATGTCCAAGGCTCAGCTCCTTATGAATAAGCCATGAGGAAGGATAAAATCTGCCTTCACTAGTGACACTGAGAACTAAAACAAACATTTTTCATTTCAAACATAAAGCCTTGATAAAGAAGATATTGTGCCGAGAGTCAACAAGTAAAAGTCAGACAGCAAAAATTTTGAGGTCGAAGGTGGATGTTCCGGTTGATACCAGAGAGAGGGGAATCTAAAATTGGATCTTTTCAATCCAAAATGGACATTCTGATACAATTTTGCTTCTCAACATTTTCAAATTATTTTGTTTTCATTCCAGTTTGGAACAAAAACAAATTCTGAAACTTTGGAAGTTGTCACAAAATGAAATTGTCATCCTGCCGCTGATTTGAATGATAAATTAAATTGATATATGAACAAACATCATCCTAAGGGTTCAATTCTGCACCCACTAAAATCAGTGGCAAATACTTGCATTAACTTCAAAAGGAGTAGGAGCTGACCCTGTACAATTCCTTATAGGCAATACCCTATCAGTTTAACTTCTAAGACCAGTTAACTTTAAATGAGTTGGCTGCTCTTATGTATACCACTGCCATCTACTGGCTAGAGTAAGACCCGCCTATGTGTTTGTAATCATGGTTAGATTCCGATCTCACTGTTTTACAATGAGATTACTCCTGATTTATAGTGATGTAAAGGAGGTCAGAATCAGGCCGCAAGTTTCATGGGGCTGGCCTATAAAGTTAGTTATACTATCCCCAATACTACTAACTGCTAATAGAGGTTTCACTGTGGCTCAGGAAGAGACCTGTGTTTTTTGAACACAAGGTTGAGAGTTTTGTTGCTGAAGGTGGAAAATCCAACAGCGTAAGGCTGGGGGAAGATGGAAGTAGCGCAGGAGTGAAAAGTGACCACAGCTTCCCCTCTGGCTGAGGTCCCATTGACAGCACATCTCAAGAAAGCGATGTGGCCAGGGTGGTTAGAGATGCACGGATGCTGTGCATTGGAGGCCCCAAAGGAATTAAGTCTGCCTTCAGTCACGAAAGTCTAAAAACAGCACGGTAGAAGAAAATTGCCTACCCTCCTTCCCTCCAAGGGGATGGGCTGGCAGAGCAAAGTGCAATGTATACCTTCCTGCACCAGCGCTGGTGAATCCACACAAGGACAAGGAATGAGTTCGTGGCTGGTGAAATAGGTGTGATTTAATTGCAATCAGTGTTTTGTGCCTGCTTCTGTCAGTGGTGAATTTGGTTCAAACGCAATTTTAATATAGGAAAGATTAAGGAGGAAAAAACTACAGAAGAGCATTATTTTTTTTGTACACTATTTTAATTTTCCAACTGAAATAATAGTGAAACAAATTGCCAATATGGTCAATATTGGTATGAATCAGAATGAAAATGTGTTCACCAAATTTTCGGATTAGGAATAATACAAAACGCCTGCGATCCAGAAAAAGCCAGTTAGAGGAATGGAAACAGAAGTTCAGGACAAGGATGAACAGAAAACACAATCAACACTTTTAGTCCTGGGTTAGTGTGAACTGTAATTATGAGTATTTGGTGGTGTAACAGTAATTCCTTATGTAAGAGAAAAGTAAAGGAAGTTCTTACCATAGCTTGAGTGAAACTGATTATAATCAGTTTCTTTATACAGACACTGACTAAAAAAAAAAATACGATCAAAGCAAGGTGCTTAGTTTGTTGCAGAAACCCGCCCCCCCCACACCCCGAAACAAGTGTGTCATCTCAAAGTTTAATCTTTAACAGATAACTTGGAGTAACTCTTGTTATTATATTAACAATGTGAAGAAGTCAAAGTCTGTACACCATGGCAAGTTTTAAGTCTTTAAATTTAACAATAAGGTAGGAATGGTGGACTGAACTGGTCAGTTCTGACACACCCAATTTTTTCCCCATATTGTTATATTTGCAAAACAAACAAACAAACCAAATAAAAAACTAACCCCTCCCCAACCAACCAAAAAACCCCTAAACAAAACAGGCAAGCAAACCAACCAAGAATGGCTCTATTTCTCCACATGCTGGAAATCTACATGGGGTATTCCGATGTCTGAAAAATGATACTAGTGTAATTCTCTTTGTACAAAACTGGGTATTGAGCAAAAGATTCTTGTAGTAATTTGATTATGTTTTAAGTTTCCTGAAATCAGGGCAAAAATGTAATGTTAATTATGGCTAGATTTTGCCTCCTGTGTAAAATAAAATGCAACAAACAACAACAAAATACACAGAAGGAACAAAGCTAAGTGAAAAATCTCTGCTGCCTTCAGGCCATAGGGTTTCTGTTTAATTGTCCCATGTAGTATGATAGGTTTTGCAGGTCCTGAGATCTCTGAGCCTATCCTGAGGATCTTCAGGCAACTGGAGAATTCTAGGTTCTCTCACAAGGGAAAGACTCACCATGATTCTCCTTGGGCTGATCATTTAACAACACTGTATTGAATCAAAATCAAATTAGAACAGGTTTCCATCCCAGGGCCTGATCTGTACCACTGAAGTCAATGGAAGCAGGATTGAGCCCTGTGTACTTGAATCTGTAAGAACAGAAGAGGCAAGCATTGTGGTTTTTGCATCATCATGGATTGTTCAAGGAGTATCACTCTCTATCCCATAGCAAAGCTTCAAAGGAAACCTGTTCTTAATCAGCAAACCCATTTTCCACAGGGGTTTCCAGGAATGGAGTGCAAACCTACCCGAGTTAATGCTGATGGGCTGATGCTGTGAATTCCATATGTTTCCTGGTTCTAACCCCTCTCTGCCCATTTGTGCTCCCTAAAAATCTGCAGAGGCCTTATTGCAGAGAATTCACACAGAGAAGCTGCCACAGGAGCAGAGGGAAGGGACAAACAGCTGCTACTTAGGCTTCACTCCCCTTCTTTTTGACAGATATTTGCTCCTTTGAATGGTTTTTCCACTCTTCATTTTGTCCATTGCAAAAAACTGAGGTGTGATCTGGTCCTAGGTAGTAACTAGTTCATAAAATGAACTATTCTGTAGAGTTTCTTTGTGTTAACTAGTTCATAAAATGAACTATTCTGTAGAGTTTCTTTGTGTTATCTGCATTGTTAAATGCAACTATTCTGGTCCTTCTTGCACCATTAATTTTCACTGTTTCTCTCAAAATCAGAAATGAGGATGCTTTCTTCCACAGCTGGATCTTCAGAGTTCGTTTGTGAATAATATGGATTTCTGAACCATCGTACTCTACTGAAGAGACTGCTGTTCTGTTTGTACAGGCACCACAGAAATGTAGAAATAGCAGCCATCATCACCAATGTCAGCATTACAGCTAGAGCCATGATCCCACGGTGTGATGCTAAAATGAAAGAAGCAGAAGAAAAGTTCTATAACAATGAAAGAAAGTCATGTCATAAAAATAGATGCAGAAAATGTTTTAGCTTCAGTATTTCTGATAAAAATATAAATGTATCACATAACATAGTAGAATTTACCTTTTACAGTTTGCACTGTTGCAAAGATATCTGAAACAGAATCCAAAGTTAGCATGAAAATTATTCAGACAACTTATAAAAGTTAATGTATATGCTTTATTGTAAAGTTGCTACTTGTGGGGGAGGGGACATACTTTATAACAATAATGGGCCATCCCTGATTTAACTTTATTGATGTCAACGGGAGTTACAGCCCACTGGGATAAATATGGCCTGATGCATCATTTTAAATTCCTTCACTTACCAAAGTGCATGTGAGATAAGCACAGTCTAAATATGAAGGAGTTAAAGTTCAGGAATGCTCAGTTATGGTTTGATCTGCTTCTGCAGAAGTAACTGGATTTTTGCCATGGGTTTCAATGGAAGCAGGATTGGGCCGCTACTGGGTGAGGGTGTCAGGCTCTAATACTTTTAAGTCTTTTCTATTCATACAGTGGAAAGATGGTCTTTTGGTTAAGGAATGAGCCTAGGAATAAAAAGATCTGAATTCTATTTCTGGTTCTCCCACAAATTTCCTGGGTGACTGTGGCCAAGTCCTACTCTATAGGGGGGAAATAACATTTACATACCTCTAGGGGAATTGTGAGGTTAAATTGATCAATATTTGTGAAGCACATACTATACTACTGAGTGCCATAGAAAAGTCTATGCATAAATACTTGGACACAACTTTCAGTCATCCATTTGATCTATATAAGAACTGTAGCAGCGTAGAAATCAAAGGTCTAATTTTTCTATTTGCCACCTGCTTTATGAGTCAGCTGTTTCATGAAGAGAAAACTTAGAAGATTCTACTACTTTCCCCAAAATATATTTGGTACAATTTAATGTTGGGACACTTTTGTTTTTATTGGGGGGGAGGGGGCACAAGAAAACCTTGCAAAATTATCACAAAACTTTAACATTCCCATCACATCAGCCTTGGTGATTGTGAAAAAGGTAGTGATATTTACACACACACAAAAAAAAGAAAGAAAGAAATTCTCACCCTGGACAAGTAGGGGAGCACCATTACACAGGCCTGGTTTAAGACTAACTAGCAGGGCTAATGCTGATTTTAGTGCTCTTGGGTGGGCTGGCAAAACCATTTTTTCATGTAATGATTCCTGTCTCCTGTGACTATAGAGTAGCACAACATGTCAGGCCAGACTTGGTACTTTGGGGAGGATCAGTGAGATAATTCTTTAGGATGCCCTATATTTCATTTCATTTCATATAAAAAAAGGAGAGGGAGAATCTCTTATTGTACAAATGGAAACTATTGTCTGTGCAGTTTCCAACACTCTAAAGTGTTTCAAAGAACAATTTCTCGAATAAGTTAAGAGTTTGGGGGGTACTGGAGGCTTTTGTGCATACTCTGGTGAACTTTAGCACTTATATAGGAGCACTGTACAATCTACTAAAGAAGTGGCATAAAGTAAGTAAGTGAAGTAATTATTAAATATCCCCATTTTATAGGGGGAAGACAAAGACAGACAGGTTAAGTTACTTGACCATGGCCACAGTGGGAGTCAGAACTAGGATTAGAGTCAGGGAGCTTGCTTCTGTTCAGTCCACTATCCTAGGCTGTCTTTCACACTATTTAGAAAGCTGCTCTTGTGGCTGGCGGCCACACAGGCCGCTCAGCAGAGGAGCGGACTCAGCCGTCTGAAAAGCAGCTACAGCAGCTCTAGCACCATTAGTAGCAGTGCCCATTGTTCCCTGCAACTACAAACTGGTCTGCATCCCCATCAAAATAAGGTGACCACAACTAAGGATTTTATGGGTCCTACAGGCCAATTTTGAATGGCATTAGGGAGAACCAGAAATAAAGAATGATCTTTAGGGAAAAAAATCAGTGATAAAATTGTAACCTTTGAAGTTAGTTCACTTCTTCAAAGCTATGTCCATGAATAAAAAGGGACAAAAATTATCTATAAAAAATGAAATATCCTTTATATTTATAGACTACCAAAATCAAGCGAGGCCTGTGGCTACAGGCTTCATGAATGCAAAGTCCAGTTGCGGACATATGGGAAACTGAAGGTGCAATGGCATTAAAGGCCATTAACTGAACACCATTTCAGAGGAAGCCTAAAGTAAAGAAAAGGGGAAACCAGGGGAATATAAAACAATGTTATAAAGAGATGGTTATTTTCTTTCACATAAACACATACCTGTATCCATTTTACATACAAATCCCTTTTTCTCTCTGCATGGAGATAATTGCCATACTCCATCTGTGGTCCTCAAAGCAACACAAAAATTCCCTTTGAGATGATCCAAGTCAGGCTCCCTGATGCCCCAGTTTGAATAATTTAAGGGAGAACCATCAAGCCATGCTACTGTGTCATCTAAGGGCAAAAATATTTAAACACTATGAGGTCTGTGTAATGTGTGTTTAAATACATGCTGAACAGGAAAGAATGAGGAGAGGACAACTGGATAGGGGGATTCTGGAGAGCCAGCTCCCCAAAAATATGGGCAAAATTATCTTCTCTGATATGCACTGCAGGAGCTTCTTTTGTTCCCTCCATCTCCAATTCAGGAAAGCATTCCTATTCAGGAAACCACTTGCATATCTCCTGAATATCGATGGACTTTAGCACATTCTTCTGTGTTTTCCTAAATCAGAGCCTCAGAGAGGTAGCCTACCTGCCAGGAGCAGACTGCATATGGGCCCAGCATTGAGAAACCTGTTTCTCACAACAAAAACAGTGCCATCCATTATGAGCCGTTAAGGTGTGGGCAATGAAACAGGATGTCTCTCTGTGCTGTGGAGTAGAGTGGTTGGTGATGTGGAGGAGGAGGGAATCTGTTCTGCAGTAACCAGCCATCCTGCCCCGGAAAGGAATAAGGGTATTATCTTTCCTGTGAGCCAGCCATTATAGTGGGACACAAGCCAGAATGTTCCAACTGAATGGTCATAGCTTTAACAGCTACAGAGATAGAACTTTGTATTTCAGGTGCACCCTAAACTGACAAAGACATCTGAGATAAACAAGTTGAGTGTTCTGGTAAGTGGTTGTCAACGCTAAACTAAGAACTGTACCATCATATTAATGTATTCCATTACTTACTGTTCGCAACAAACTGAATGTTCAACCAAATCCTTTGGACAGAAGAACCAAAAGGGTGCAATTCTTCCAGAACAAAAGCATTTTCATCTTCATCTTTAATAGTTAAAAGATTAGATCCTGCAGATGAAACATATATACCAAGTTTCTTCATTGTTGATCATGTTCAGAACATAATTAAACTCTATTCACCTAGCCTTACACAGTGGGAAATCTACTCCTCCAGCTGTAATCGCAATTCACTCTTCTCAAGATAACTAATGTAACCCCATGCTCAGGATGTCCCTACACCTCTGACTGCCAGAAGCTGGGACTGGATGACAGGGGATGGATCACTCGATAATTGCCCTGTTCTGTTCATTTGCTGTGAAGCATCTGGCACTGGCCATTGTTGTAAGACAGGATACTGGACTAGATGGACCATTGGTCTGACCTAGTATGGCCGTTCTTATTTTTCAGTGGAGCCTTAGGAAGTTAGTTTTCCAATACCCAAAGCAATTCAGTAGGCGTGGGCACCTAACTCTCTTAGGCACCTTTGAAAATTCCAGCCTCTCTCTTTAAACAAAATATTTTTGTTTCATTCTCACACACCACATGGAAGTTACATTTCCCACACATGGGCTTTTGCTACAGAAGAAACAACACCTGTTGCATGGTGTCAAAACTTAATATTGTGCTTCAAAAGTTCAACATTATGCATAGTTATGTTAGGGATTTTAAGTTATGGTTACACTACATAACTTCTAAATTTACAATGCAGGTATAAATTTGAAACTGTCAGACTGTTATGAAACTAATCACAGGATCTTTACAGTAATCTGAAGAGAAAAATAATTGAATTTTATACAAATGCAACAAAAACTTTTATCATGCTGTATTGTAGAACATTTGTTAGTTGTTTTAGTTAGCTACAATATCATCATCTTCACTCCCATATAAAACAGGCCACTATTTAAATAAGTTATTTAAAATGTTCAGAAGAATACACGACATTTTACTGCTGTAAAGATAACTAATAACAGATTACCTTGCTTTTTGCAAAATTCATATGCTGTATCAAAACTTGTACTCTCGAAAACTGTGGAAAACCTGTAGCAATTGCTTCTAAATTTTATCCAGGTGACATTTTTTTCTGAGCATAAGCCTCTGTATTCAATTAATTTCTTTTCTGTGACAGAAATAACGTTGTAGGTTTAATGGAGTAACACAATATTAAGAAACATCCCACAAATCATTTTAGAATAATACTAGCAATAATTTTACACTTGAGAAGCGTACATGTAAACTGGTAATTTTTTTACTGTATTATGGCATGGAAAAATCTTTCTTTATTGTAAAAATTATAGTGAAAAATGGACACTTGACTCATCCACAGTTTAGATCTATTTTTTTCTCTTTTTTTGCATAAAGCTAAATTGAAGTAAGCTATTCCTAAACCCAAATAAGATAAATTACGGAATACAGCCATATAATAAATACAATCATTCTGACTGATCCTGCTGCCTTTCCTCACCCTAGATGCCATCTGGTGAGAAAGTAGCTCAATATATATTTTTTAAAATGGACAATAGATCTCATGCTACTCCCATTGAAGCCAATAGGAGTTCAATGGCAGCGTTTGGATAGGGTAATGTGGTCCTGTGTTGAAGGAATATTTAAAGGACACTGCTTAGCACTGCAAAGGACTCAGCAGAGACAGTACTTTTAATTCAATTAAAAACTGTTAGTTACTTTTGTATAACCACTTTTGAGGCACCATTTTAAGTATATCACCAGTGTTGTTAAATATGTCCTCCTTGTTTTCTAGGCAGTGCAATATCATTTATGATTCAAGAGAATGAAAACAGGATCTCGGTATTTGGTCTTATTCAAAACCCCCCTCACACAGTAAATTGCCTGGAACTCTCTCTACCTCAGGGCTAAGACATCCATGGAAGGATTTTAAACTGTGAGCCAGGAAATCTAGACAAGAGTCTACTCATTTCTAACTGATGACCACCAAATCATCCATGCTCAGTGAATTTTATTAAAGTGTATTATACTTCATGCTAAATCTAGTCTTAATCCAAGAAATCTAACATTTCTCATTTGTTTTTTCCAGTTACAAGAAGGTGTTTTCCTCTCTCCCATTGGCCTGAACCCAAAGTCCAGGTATGTTTTTTTAATTTAGTTTCACACCAACTTTTAGGCACCTAAAGACCACTGGGATTCACAAAGCCTGAGTTAAGCCCCTATACAATGAATGGGGAGAAAACTGGCACCTAAGAATGGGATTCACAAAAGCCAACATACTAGGTGGCTACTCATCTCAGCAAGCCAATGGATGCCAAGGTGTGCTAAGGCCTGCCCCTCTAATGGAGTTAGGGGTCTAAGTGTGGGCTGCAGGGAGGTGCCTCCACCTGCTTCGGATTCTCAGTCATGGGGCCAGAGAGATCGTGAGTATGAGAATGACTCTGTGGCCTGTAGAGCACTCACTTGGGAGGTAGGAGGCCCATGACCCAGTCCCCTTGAGCCACAATGGAACAGCTTCAACAGGAGAGACTGGGAACATCACATCAGAATATTCAATAGCTTAATGCTCAGAACAAGCTCCCAAAAGACAGGAGATTGCTGTTCATATCCCTTCTCCTCCTCAGGGGTCTCCCACATCCCAATGGTCTACACCAGTGCTGCTCATTTTGTGTGAGCTGGCCTATGGCGGCTTAATCCGATAGATAAGCTCTGAGCACGTTGACTAGATCAGGCCTTCAGGTAAGTTATGCAGAGGAACTCCTATCTTCCTCCAGTTAGTGCATGACTCTGGGGCTTAGGCATCTGGGACATCTGACATGGGGTGTCATGCACATGCATAGAGACAGAAGAGTAGGTGCCTAGGGAACTTTTACTGCAGTAATTTAAGCACCCAGTGAGTTTGGTGGCACCTGAGCAGGAGTTTGTGAATCCCAGTAGGGCCTGATTCTGGGATTTAGTCACCTAAAGCAGTTTTCAGGGTAACAGCCGTGTTAGTCTGTATTTGCAAAAAGAAAAGGAGTACTTATGGCACCTTGTGGCACTCCGATGAAGTGAGCTGTAGCTCACGAAAGCTTATGCTCAAATAAATTGGTTAGTCTCTAAGGTGCCACAAGTACTCCTAAAGCAGTTTACGTCCTTTTGTGAATCTAGCCCTAAATACTTATATATTTTATAATAATCAGTAGTCAACTGTGAACCAACATACTTCTGTTCACATTCTTCCATAGACAATGTGTAAAACTAAATTTCTTGAGATTTAATATAAAACTAACCCATGACTTACCAGTTGGCACATGGCAAACTGCTCCTTGTAGAAGTCTTTCACAGGTAGCACTTTTCCACTGCCCATTAATATCAATATAAACACAGCTGCCCAGTGACTGTGACTCCTCGTCTCCCCAAAAGGTAAACAAAGACTTGGTACCATCTGACCACTCAAAGTTAAGCCCATTCTGCCAAAATAAATTCAGGATTATTTCTCTTTATGTGTTACTGTCACATAAGTGGCTTCTTCTTTGATATCCTTTCCATGGGCTGGCAAATCTGGCTTTTCCTCCTCCAAGGCAGGGCCCTAACTAAATGATGCAGACACATTCCCAAGGACCATTACTATGTAATTCTGCAAGATCCTTTCTACTACAGTTCCTGGCCAATGGGAGCTGCGGAGCCAGCACTCAGGGCAGGGGCAGCGCACAGAGCTGCCTACCTGCGCCTCCACCTAGAAACAACAGGGACAGGTTGCCGCTTGTGGGGAGCCACCTGAGGTGAGCACCCCCCAGATCTAGGACCCTGAAACCTCTCCCACTCCCCAACCCCCTGCCCCAAGCACCCTCCCATATCCAAACTCCCTCCCAGATCCTGTGCCCCAACTCCCAGCCCTGCAACCCAACTCCCTCCCTCTTGGTTAACCGGAATTTTTCACTTACCAGTACCTCCCATTCCCCCAACATGCTGGATAAAAAAGCTTTTACTGTACTAACTGAACCACTGTGGCAGCTGACCATGAATAAAGTAGTTATCTGGAGCATAAGTATACCAAGAATGAAGCCAAAGCCACTTCAGTGGTCAGCTTAGAAAAGGCTTTTCGCCTGTGAGTGTTCTTCTCTCTGCCTTTAAGCTCCTTTTCAGTGCTGGGACTCTAGCATCACACCAGCATCACATCCTGCAGTGCTGACACCACACGGATTACAATTTACTTGTATGTTGTGTTACAACTAGAGATAAGCCCAAGCCACATAGTTGAGTTTTTCTTCAGGATCCGAACTTCTCCCAAGTACAGGGGTATTCAGCTTGAGGTTTTTGCTGCAAGCTCATCTCTATTTACAAATGCACCAATTTCAAGTGAATACACATTTCCTTTTTTTTTTTTCTTTTTTTTACAGCTTGTTACCTTGTTACTATACAAACTAATCTACAGTATCATATTCATATGCACAGACTCCATTACGTACATCTGAGGTAGATAGTCCAATCCAGTGGGCATATCCTAGTCTGTTTACAATGACCGTGAGGAAGGCTTGGTGATAATGGTCCGTAACGCTGACCAATTCAGTTCCATCTGCCATGCAGGTTTTTAAAGCAGCAAACCAAGTCATATTCCCATGTATTAGTTTATATGTTCTGTTTCCATATTCTAAAGTATCTGGTACTGGATACATCTCAGATGCATCTATGGCATGTCTGGACGTATCTGCGACAAACAGAAAGAAAAAGACAAAATATCCAGTATTTTTAGTATCAAACATTTTCCTTTAACAGACAATATTTAATAAATTAACAGTTCTCAAAGCCGAATGACTATCCTTGAAAACAAATGTAAAAATCCCAAATCTGTTAGTTCTTCTAGAAGCATCCCTGAGACCATGTCAACACAACAAACAAACACACACACGACTCTTGTTTGAAATCACAGCAAGGCCAAAGATTGAATTTGTGTGGAAAATGAATGGATTCAGTACACAGAGAGGAAGGCTTTCTATCAACTCTCAAACTTTGAATTTCAACAAGAATTCAAATGGGAACTAATGCCAGTGGGCCTCAATCCCAGGGTAAGTACCCATAAAGTATGCACCAGCTCAGTGATGCTGTTTTACAGTGATGTTTTGAGTGTAACCTTAGAGGGTCTCATTACACACCTGTTTAATGGGATCTCCTTGATCTCCCACTGGACTGAGGAGCTGCAGTAATCCAAAGGTTTACTTATCTGCTTATCATGCTAATAAAAGCCTGGTTTTGAATTGTAAAAAATACATATTTTGCAGAGTGAGTAATGTACATATCCAACTGTGAGGTCTTTTCAAGGAGAGAAAATTGTGCATGAACAATCTCAGAGTCAAAGATTAATCTAAATAGTACAAAGACTAAGGGATGCCTTCAGAAATTAGCTGTAAAGAGCATCACGTTGTGACGGGTTGGATCACAGAACCCCCCTGGGGCTGCCAACTGATGTGCCAAGACTACTTCTGCCCCTGCTTTCCCTGCCAGCTTAGGACTCCAGCACCCTGTCTTGTTAAGCCAGACATGCCAGTCTGCTCCAGCACAGACCCAGGGTCTGAACCACGTGCCCCAAAGCTGCAGACTTAACTGAACGCAGCTTAAGAAGTGTTCCTGTCTTTAACACTCAGATACTCAACTCCCAATGGGGTCCAAACCCCAAATAAATCCGTTTTGCCCGGTATAAAGCTTCTACAGGGTAAACTCATAAATTGTTTAAATAACACTGATAGAGAGAGATGCACAGCTCTTTGCACCCCCGGCCCCCCCGGTATTAATACATACTCTGGGTTAATTAATAAGTAAAAAGTGATTTTATTAAATATAGAAAGTAGGATTTAAGTGGTTCCAAGTAGTAACAGGCAGAACAAAGTGAATTACCAAGCAAAATAAAATAAAACATGCAAGTCTAAGTCTAGTACAGTAATAAAACTGAATACAGATAAAATCTCACCCTCAGAGATGTTTCAATAAGTTTCTTTCACAGACTGGATGCCGTCCTAGTAAGGGCACAATCCTTTCCCCTGGTACAGTCCTTGTTCCAGCTCAGGTGATAGCTAGAGGATTTCTCATGATGGCTGCCCCCTTTGTTCTGTTCCACCCACTTATATATCTTTTGCATAAGGCGGGAATCCTTTGTCCCTCTGGGTTCCCACCCCTCCTTCTCAATGGAAAAGCACCAGGTTAAAGATGGATTCCAGTTCAGGTGACATGATCACATGTCACTGTAAGACTTCATTACCCACTTGCCAGCATACAGGTATACAGGAAGACTTACAAGCAAAACAGAAAGAAAAGGAGTACTTGTGGCACCTTAGAGACTAACAAATTTGTTTGAACATAAGCCTTAGTGAGCCACAGCCCACTTCATTGGATATAAAATCTCCCCGCTGTGTTTTCCGCTGCATGCATCCAATGAAGTGGGCTGTGGCTCACGAAGGCTTATGCTCAAATAAATCTCTAAGTCTCTAAGGTGCCACAAGTACTCCTTTTCTTTTTGCGGATACAGACTAACACGGCTGCTACTCTGAAACCTGTCATTAATATGCTGTGTTTCTGTGTGACATCCCCAGGCAGATTAGCATCATCAGTGCCTAGCCTGTTTGATGGCCCATCAAGGGTCATTAACTGTACAATGAACCCATTGAAAGGAACCAGTGAATATACCTTATGAGTCAGCAAGGCATTTGGTATCCTGATGGACAGGATTCTAAGGCTTTTCCATACCATGTGCTGGGCACCTTGTGTTTGGGAAAAAGGAAGTACAAGCCTCATGGCAAAAGAATATAAAGGGCAGCTGCATCATCTCCATTTTGTCTTCATTCCTGCTTCTTCCCTCTGGAGTAACTTTTCTACAATCGAAGCTCTGAACAAAGAACTAAATGACCCATCCCAAGAAGAAAAGCTATGTGTAGCCTTAAAGTTTGTCTCTTTCACCAAGAGAAGTTGGTTCAATAAAAGATATTATCTCAGCCACCTTGTCTCTATAATAAAATTAACATGGAACATATTAAATGGATTAAAAGCTGGCTAAATGATAGGTCTCAAAAAGTAATTGTAAATGGAGAATCAAACGGGAGTGTTTCTAATGGGGTCCCAAAGGGATCGTTCTAGGCCCTATGGTATTTAACATTTTTATTAATGACCTGGAAGAAAACAAAAATCATCACTGATAAAATTTGCAGATGACACAAAAATTGAGGAAGTATTGAATAATGAAGAGGGCAGGTCACTGATACAGAGTGATCTGGATCTATTGGTAAGCTGGGTGCAAGCAAACAATGTGTATTTTAATATGGCTAAATGTAAACATATACATCTAGGAACAAAGTATATAGGGCATAACTTACACAATGGGGGAATCTCTTCTGGAAAGCTGTAACTCCGAAAAAGATTTGGGGTTCAGGGACGATAATCACCTGAACATGAGCTCTCAGTACAACACTGTGGCCAAAAGGGCTAATGCGATCCTTGGATGCATAAATGAGAATCCCAAGTAGGAGCAGAGAGGTAATTTTACCTCTGGATTTGGCACTGGTGTGACTGCTGCTGGAAAACGGCATCCAGTTCCTCAATTCAAGAAGAATGTTGCTAAATTGGAGTGGATTTAAAGAGCCACAAGAATGATTAAAGGCTTAGACAACATGCTTTATAGATAGTGATTTACTCAAGGAACTCAATCTATTTAGCTTAACAAAGAGACAGTTAAGGGGCAACTTGATTAGAATCTATAAATACCTACATGAGGAACAAATATTTAGTAGTGGGGTCTTCAGTCTAGCAGAGAAAGGTACAACATGATCTAATAGCTGGAAGTCGAAGCTAGACAACTTCAGACTGGAAATAAGATGCAGAACCTTAACAGCGAATAATTAACCACGGGAACAATTTACCACGGGTTGTGGTGGATTCTCCACCACTGCCAATTTTTAAATCAAGATGGGATGTTTTTCTAAAAGATACGCTCTAGGAATTATTTTGCCTGCATTATACAGAAGGTCAGACTAGAAGACTACAATGGTCCCTGCTGGCCTTGTAATCTATGGAAAAAGCCCAACTATATTAGGTCTTCTAGTCTATCTTCCTCTCTGTGTGGACTGTTCTCTGCAGTACTTTTTCCTGAAATTTTCTATAATCCAGTTTTACAGGTCGCATACTGAATCTCATTGTCAGTAGTTTTTTCTGATGGTTAGTCTAAATTTTATATCATTACTCCAAGTTATGCATCACCCCAAATACCTGCTCCCCTCCATGATCTAAGATATGCAATGTATAGCCAGAAGAAAAAAACAAAGATAATACTCTTGGTATTGATCATGTAGCAATGTTGATTTGTCCAAAATATTACAGATAATTTGTAGTTTTAGGCTGTTGACATGAAGCCGTGTAAGAGGTAATTTACATTCCACGGTTTATAAAGGATGTATACAACATACCACAGATGAGAGAGAAGAACGTGAGCAAGTTAATTAACAATGGAGAGGGCTGAGAGTGAGAGTAAAACAGAAACAAATCCTTACCTTGAGTCTTTTGGCAGATAAAACCATAATTTTTCTGACAGCTTTCTAAGTACCATTTTCCCGTAAAATGAAAATTAGGGTTATTTGATACCAAGGTACACAACGGAACTTGTTCTTGGATATTAGCACTGTTATACCTCTGACCCTGTAATAAACATGTATCATGATAATGAATGAACACTGCCTAAAAACTAATAAATAAGTCTTAACTGATTAAAATAAAAATCATTACAAGAAAAAGCATGCAGAAGATTAACCAGCTGACAGTCACTAAACATGAACATTCTAATGTACATCATCATAATTAAAAATTGAAACATCATAATGAAAATTTTGCATAATTCAGTTGAAAGAATGTGAAATCAGAACTAACTAAATATTTCTCTATGCATAAAGCAATACACTGCACAGTACACTTCATGATAATTTTGATTCCCCAGTCTCTCTGGAGCAGATTTTAAAAACTGATTACCACTTGTTATGCCCCAAATTTTGTGCTTGTAAAGAGCTGTAGGAGTAAATGATGGGATATGTGTGTCTACCCAACTGAAGGTGTAAATCAAACGGCTAGATGTCTACAGAGGATCATTTTTGACCACATTTAATTGGACCCATGAAACAGTTCCTTCCATTATTAGGACGTGCAAAAGTAAGCCCATGTTGAGGCCCTATTAGGCCCTATCCTTTTAAAAAAAATCACTGATTATTATGTACAAAACAATACCTCCCCACGAAACGCATTTCATAAAACTTACATGAACTACTTCAACTGGAAACCAATTGGAATATACCTTCGGATGTTCATTCACCCATTTTCCATAATCATCACTCTGAAGACCTATCCAAACACTAGTCTTCTGTCCAAATAGATTCATTGTTATAAAAGCTGCAAAAAGAAAGAATGAATTTTAACACATAAGTTATTGTAAGCCATTTGGGCAACTCTCTCTTTATAGCCACAATTAGCACATTAAAACAAAGGAAAAACTTAATTATCAGCCAATGCCATTTCATAGGTATTGTCCTTATTAGAAGGAAAGAGCATTAGCAGCATTTCATTTCCATGTAATTTTAAATTTACTGGTACTGATTGACTTCAGTGGGGTCAGGATCTAGACCATTACCTAATTAAGGTTGAAGAGGTTCCCATAGCAGTTGGAACAATTTTAGTTTTTTGATGTGACTGTTTCACTGAAAATGCATTTCTCCACTGTAGTTAAAAATTAGACTGTGTAACGTAAAGCATGAAGGCTAGATTTTTAGTTCAACTAAAAAAAATTTTACACACATGACAAATTTTAACTTGGGACTTTTTTGAACAGGGAATATAAAAAGTGCCAAGCATACAGGTGTTTCTTAGACTCCAGTTTGGACTGGTCAGTGTATAAAAAGCCAATCTAATATAGTGTAGATAAGACCCAATGCACTGTATTCATGTAACGAGGATACTAGTTTTTCATCATTACCACCATTATTTTTAATTAGGTAGATTTTACAATATTATAATGTATTTCTAATATAGGAATTTTATAAAGCAATCTTTAAAAATGTACCCCTCTACCTTTGGCATTTCTAATTCATGTATCACCTTTGTATGTATGCACAAAGTGTTGTGCAAATGATAACTAATCCTCAAAATACACTTTTGAGGAACACAAGGAAATATTATCCCCGTTTCATAGTTTGAGAAACTGAGGAAAGGAGATTTTAAAGAGATTGTTCAAAGTCACTTGAGAGAGTTATCAGAGTAACAGCCGTGTTAGTCTGTCTTTGCAAAAAGAAAAGGAGTACTTGTGGCACCTTAGAGACTAACCAATTTATTTGAGCATGAGCTTTCGTGAGCTACAGCATCCGATGAAGTGAGCTGTAGCTCACGAAAGCTCATGCTCAAATAAATTGGTTAGTCTCTAAGGTGCCACAAGTACTCCTTTTCTTTTTGAGAGAGTTAGTAGCACAGCCAGGTTTGGAATGTGAGTGTTCTTAATTCCCAGTCCTGTAATTAAGATTATGCTTTACTTCTTAATAAAACAAATAAAATGTCATTGTTATTATAATGCAATACAGTATTACCTTGTTCTACTTCATTTTCAATAGAAGCAAGTGACCCATCCTGTTCACTGCAGAAAGTCTGGGCAGAGTACCAGTTCGTCAGATGGTCTGGATCCTTTGGAATTTGTATCAAAAAACACTATTCCCAAAAGAAAAAAATGTTTTATTTTTTACATTTTAAAATGTGTTTGGTGATTGTTAAAGGTACTGTATTGACAGCCCTGAAGACTATAGTCTTCTGATTACCCACAGAATAGGTACAACAAGGGCAATGGCCTGCCATTGTGTTTGAACCCTAACCAAGAATGACAATCATTTCAAAGGGAGACAGAGTAGGGCAGTGCCCATGCTCTTTCAGTTTCTAAGGGGTTGTCTACACTTACATTTTATAGCACTCTAACTTGCTGGCTCAGGGGGGTGAAAAATCACCCCCCTGAGCGCAGCAAGTCTGAGCGCTTTAAAGCGCTAGTGTAGACAGGCTCCGAGCGCTAATCCCTTCGTGGAGGTGGATTACCAGGAGCGCTGGTGCGCGACCACCCTTCCACTTCAAAGCGCTGCCACAGGAGCGTTCCGGAACAGTGCTTTGAAGTTTCCAGTGTAGCCATGCCTAGGGCCTCTCTGCCAAGACTGTCCACAAGAGTGAAAAATCAAGATCAGCTGCGTCATGAATATTGTGATGTGGACATCTGCCCGCCAGGAATTGGGCGGAAGCCATCAAATCAATTCAAACAGGCCACTGAAAAGTAAACATTTATTTACGTAAACACATCTCTTCTACATTCTTGGTATTAATTTTCAGTCACAACTGATCAGGGATGGATTCAAAACAGTTTAAAGGTGAAATGTTCCTTGGGCCAAAATTACCCTTGAAGCCAATGGAGTTTAATCAGGGATGAGTCTGGCTACCTGTCTGTCCCTGGGTTACAGAATCCACAGGTTTAATATAAACCAAAAGAAAATTTTACCACTGCAACTCTAGTGTGTGAATACACGTAGGTTTACAATCTTTTCTGAACATTATTGTAACAACATGTATTGGAATGTGACAATTTCTGAAGGAAAAAATGCAAGGCTCCATTTAGCACAGCCTTCTTGTCATATTGAAATCACATTCCTAGGCAATAAAAGCCTTCTTAGTGCACGTGTCTTAATTGGGCCACGGGGTATGGAACACTGAACATATGTGACACAAAAACACGAGTAACTTCACACACATTTTACTAAACAAAGTCAAAACATTCTATAACTTAAATGGGACCACTTGTGTATAGAAGTACTGGTCAGCATAAGCATTTGCAGAATTGGGGCCTATATTTATATGCCTAAAAAGCCTGTTGTCAAAAGGGAAAACAATATCTTCAATAATCTGTAATATCCTTAAATAGTCCACTCACTATCATAAATTTGTATGGGTTTTGAAGAAACAAAAATAATTTTTTTTAACCTTGAATCCAAAGTATAGCCATCCTTTGGGACATATTCCTTGATGGTTCTGGTCTTTTAGAATTTTTCTCTCTATTGTCCATACAGTTTTACGCTTACAAATAGAGGGAAGAGAAATGGTACAGTTTTCATCACCCCAGAGTCCTGTGAAAAATAATTATAGAAATTATGTTAATACATTCATGTTAGAAAAGCTGCTATGTACATCGATTTGATGACTAAAAATTACTGTTTCTCAGATGTTATTGTTAATATTGCTATAAAGTTATTGACCAAATGACACAAGGCCGTACATTCAACTCAGTGGTATTTCTCTGTATGTCTTTCTATATTAGAGGTGGCCAAGAACTGGAATTTACATTCCGCTGGAAATACTGACCTTTTCAATTTTGTTTTCATTCTGAATTGGAACAAAAAGCTGAAATTTTGAGATTTGCCGTGAAATGAAAATTCAAAAAATAACTGATTTGGACCATTGAAATATTTTATTTCGATAGAGCTGAAGTGTTTTGTTTCTATCATTTAAATTAATTTAGTTTTTATATTATATTACAATAAATATTAAATATACTATTTAAATATTTTAATACAATATGAACATCTAAACAAAAGGAATCAAAACAAAAATATTTCAGCACTATTGAAGTGAAACATTTAGACTTATTTCTGTTGAAAAATTTTGTCAGAATATACATGTTTCCGCTAACCATTTCAATTTCAACAAAACTGTCAATGGAAATTTTTTAACCAGCTCAAATCTGTATGACACAACAACTTTTGAAAACTGCATCTGTTCAATTCCCAAATTTCAAAATTGGAAAACCAGAAAAGTTTGATTTTCACTAAAATTCAACCCACAGACTTCCCATTTGGTGCTGGAGGTAGAGGAAGCTCTCTGTCGTCCTCTGCTGCCGCCTACAAATATCACAGACATAAGCTTACTTGAGGGCTACACATTTCCTTGCTTATGTAGGTTGAGCTGTACACCATTCTGGGGCCCTTGCCCCCACCTTGGCCAGTTCCCCAAGCTGGGCCTCTTGCCCTTCGTCCCCCCGCCAATCTGGCCAGCCAGCCCCCACCTCCAGGCAGGCAAATTGCCCCTTTCACCCCCCTGCTATGCCCCTCCCCCCTCCACAAGCTCTTTGATGACTCTTTGGCCAGGCCCCTTCACCCTCACCTACATTTACACTTAAGCTGGATAACACACAACTTGAATTACATGAGCAATGAAGTGTGCAACCCTCTAGTGGCAATTTATTGCTGAAAATTATACAACATAGAGGGGCTGATGCTCAGAGGTGCTCAGCATCAGCAGCTCCTTGGGGAGTAGCAGGAGTGGAGCACCAGCTCAATTCTGCTACTATGCTCTAAAATCTTCCTGATTGTGTTGGTAGACTGTGATGACCCATACTAGAAAATACAAAAGAGTCAATAATCACAGGGTCTCATTTCAAACTCACCCTAAGAGTCCCATTTTGTCTGATTTCATCTGTTCTCTTTCATGTAAGCTCTACTAAACATCTTCACTTTTGGCCCTGAGGACAGCCATGCTCTCTCTCAAAACACAGCAGTGCCTTGGTTACTCCATGATGCAGCAGTGGATACTACCATAGTTGATGCAATCCATGTGCCCCTCTGATAAATAGTAACACCACTTGCCTACATATTTCACCTTTGGTTGCCGTCATTGTCACTTCAAAACACTGCTTCTTACAAGGTAACAAAACTACACAACTTCGCCACTCAGCCTGCTCTCAACACTGAATCTATTCTGACAAACAGCAAACATCCTTTTGGTTGACACCTGGATCTTACAGTATTGCCAACCCCAAGCATTCAAAAATTATAAGTAAGGTCCCAAAAAATCATGAGATCACTAAAAATAATACATTTTAGGTTCTTTTTAAAATTTGACTTCTGCTTTTTGAGCCTAGGGTGCACCTAGTTACATTTTTTAGCTTTTCTCCACTGCCACAGGGGCTAGAAAGCTAATTTAATTTAATAAAAAAACGCAAAAGCTGAGACTCTTAAGTTACCAAATGACATCAGGAGCTTGGACTTTAAGAAAAACACCCAATATCACAAGTTTCATGACCAAATTGTGAGTTGGCAACACTATAATTTTGATTACAGTAGCAAAAATATAGATCCAGCTAATGATGTAAGGAGCTTGACAAGGGAATAACAAAACATTGTACCAACAATCCTTAAGCAAATTGGCTAAAGAACCAAAACCAAGCTAGAGCACTGAGTTAGTAAAGTTTTGGGTTGGCATAAATACAGTTTACAAAAGTATTAAAAACCATTACTAAATCAATCCAGCTCATTTGGGATGAACAACTGACTGAAAACTGGCAGTGCATTAGCTTTACTGCTGTGAAAGAAAAATTTCTAATATGCACTGAAGATTCATTGCATGAGTGGATTATTTATAATTTTGATTTAAAAATTTGGAACTTTTAATATTTGTTTTTGATGCTTTGAGTCAGTCTCGGAGAATATTTTCAGATTTTTTTGCTATTACTTTGTTCCAAATAAGAGTGTCATTGTCTAGCGTCCACTTACTGGGGAAAAAAAAATTAGATTGTGGGTTATTTTGCACGTTCTAGAGAAATATAAACCTCAATCTAATTTAGTAATAAAATGTGCAATAACCCCTTCAGGCCCGTAAAATGATTAGTTTCGTATTAATGCAACAAAGGGAAATGTAATATTGACCTGTCTGTGATGAAATGAAGCCACATCTTTCACCTTGTGTGCGCGCAGATCTTTCTCTTCCTTCATTCCAGTTCTCATATACTAATGGTGACCCATCTCTCCACCTGCATAGAAACATTAAACATTTAGTGACGTTCTCTTTTTTTTCCCACCCCTCAAATTGCCACTACATTAATAAATGCCACCAAACAGATAGGGGATAGAAAATGCCCCTTAATTAGCTCACAAAAAAACCCTATTCACATTGTTGTGTTATATCCATTATAGCCCTTTCAGTAGAAATACTGTTAAAATGAGAAAAAACAGTAATAAATTCTGAATTACAGCCTACTCCCGATAACCTAAGTGGATCCTTGACACCCTATGCAGTCATAAAACACAGTTTTGTTTTGACAAACTGAAGGGCAACTTGTAAACAAGATCTTTCCATTAAAAATAAAAATAAAATAAGACAAAACAAAACAAAAATTCCAAGCACACACTTAAGTACATTCTTACCGAAATCCATCACTAGATACTTCAGAGTGCAATCCAATCCACCAGCGTATGTCACTTTTTGATAGCTGTAAGAATTTTTTTTACCGGTGTTTAATTACATATAGTTCTCCTAGTAAAGCATAAACAAACACCTAAGACCCAGTCCTGCTCTCACCAAGGTCAACGGGAGCAACATCAAGTCCAAATTCTGCTTGCCTTAATTTATGTGAGTTACATTTTTGACTTCAGTGATACTATTCATGCAAAGACAGCAAGATTTGGCCCTGAGTTTGCAATTTACAGAGGATACGTTGCCAATTTTAGGATTTATAGCTTGTCTGTAAAACTTTGCTGTGGCCTGAAAATTGCTACACAGGTCTGAACCTGAACTTGTTTTGTTCATTTAAGATATTTAAAAAAAAAATCCGGTAATTTATTTAACTTATAAAATGCAAACATTGCCTTTTAGAATTCTTTTAGAATTAAAATAATGGTAAACAGTCGTTACAGTTTGTAAATTGGTTACGGCACATTTTTAACGGCTTTCTTATTACAGCTCTACGTTACAGATTTCAGAGCGAGTGAGGTGTTCCTTTTAATCCAGAGAACAGATACAATACAGACAGCAACAATGTAAGCTTCTACTCACTGCCCTACCAACATGTCTCTCCCCTGAACTGTGGGTGGGGACCACTTCTGGGGTGAAATGATTGTTGAGTGTTTATAGATAAGGCTACATTTTAGTCACAGGTATTTTTAGTAAAAGTCATGGACAGGTCACAGGCAATAAACAAAAATTCACAGCCCGTGACCTGTCCATGACTTGTACTATATATTCCTAACTAAAACTTGGTTTGGGGGCGTTCTGGGGGCGCTGCGGGTACACGGGTGTGTGTGGCCCAGGACCCCCGCTGGAGCTGGGGAGGGGGGTTGGTGGGCTGGCAGGCTCCCTACCTGGCTCCGCATGTCCCTGCAGCTCCTTGGGAGAGGGAAGGCCAGGGGGGCTCTGCGCGCTGTCCCCACCATGAGCTCCAGCTCCGCAGCTCCCAATGGCCAGGACCCGCAGCCAATGGGAGCTATGGGGGGCGATGTCTGCAAGCAGGGGCAGCGCGCAGAGCCCCCTGTCCCCTCCATCTAGGTTAGGAGCTGCAGGATCATGCCAGCTGCTTCCAGGGAGCTTCCCCCACCAGGTAAATGCCACCCCGTACCCCAACTCCCTGACCCAATCCTGAGCCCCCTCCCACACTCAAACTGCTGCTGCTCGCGGTCCAGGGACTGCCTGAGTGTTCGGACAGCCCGAGCCAGCTGCACTGGCAGCTGCAAAAGACACAGAGCGGAGGTCACGGAAAGTCACGGAATCAGTGACCTCCATGACAGACAAGCAGCCTTATTTATAGACATTTAATCCTTGGCCTCTCTGTGAGACAGCTAACAAAGGAAACAATTGGTTTTAAATGTGCACAATATTGAAAAAGCAGTTGGTGTCAATGAGAAGTAATTAGTTTTCCGATAAAGATTTTCAGTCCATACAGTCAGTAGTAGAGCAGTTGGCCATAATACATTTTGGCCAAATTCTGCTCTCAGTTATTGATTTTACTAGGATTGCTATCATCAGAAATGAGAGCAGAATTTGGCCCATTTAAAAAAAATATAGAAACTCCTGATGAGAGAAGGAGATTAAGGCATGAGATCAGTCTTGTGATTTGCTAAATATGGAAAAATTTTAACTAACATTCAGCCCAGGCTGTGTAGCTTCAGGGATGTGCTGAGGCATGGAGTTTCAATTCTCCTTGCCACATCTTGAAATACCTTCAAAAAAAGTTTCTCATGCCTGATTGTGATCAGTGAAAGGACCACATTCATTCCATTCAAACGTTTTACAACTTTAATGATAGCAGGAGCAACTACCACTGAAGTCAATGGTAAAACTTCCGAATGACTTTGAAGAGAACAGGATTAAGTCCAATGTTTCATGTAGAAGCTACTATAGCTCAAGAACACTTGGCTATACGAGGCTTTAAAACTAGCTGGAGCTCAGTGTAGACAAGACTCTGATGGCCAGAACTGTTTTTATAACTGAGGTTTAACTAAACCTGTTACAGGAATAGTTCTGCTGCCTGGAGTCTTGTCCACACTGCAGCTCCAGCTGGTTTTAACAGTTTCATGTTTCCCCAGTGCAGACACGGCCTGATTGGCAAATAGTACCCAATCCTCCAAGTTGCTGAGTGCCGCCTGTGAGATGCTGAGCAATCTTGACTTCTAACTGAAGTAAATATGAACTGAGGGCACTCAATACCACATGGGATCATGCTCATAATCTGACATAAAACCAGTGAATTAAGTTGAGTTACTCTAGATTATATACGTTAAATTTACATGAATAATTTAATTACAGTTGAGAGCAGAATCTGCCTTTTTTTTGTAAACACAAAATTGCAAATCCTCTTTTTCTAGATCCTTGAAGGATATACTGGCAAAGTCAGTATTACACGCAACGTGACTTTAAAACTTGTCTTATTCTTTTGACAAACCATTAATAAATATCCACTATTTGTTTTTAAAATGAAAAAATGTTATTTTTAAAAATGGTTAAATAAATGCATCTTCATATAATCATTTTGATTTACCATTTTAAAAATGATTTTAAGTCAGAAAAATATTTTGTAAGTGTTATATATACTTCATGAACAAAATATATATTTTAAGTAAAAGCAAGTTATAATCTCAACAGAGCATAAACTATAATATGAAGCAATAGACCTGGTGATTGAAGCATCTGCTGTACAACGTATACAAGGATAAGATGTTCTTTCACTATAACCTATCCCTGTTTGAATCCATTTTCAATATATTTTGCATGAAAATTCTCACCGTCTACTACAGATGAAAACAGACTCATAAGTCATTGAAAGCTTAAAAAATTATATTGTATTAAGAAACAATCTGCTTAGGTTTTTATTTTACTTTTTAAGGTAAAAGCAGAGAGGACTTTACACACTGAAAGTAAAAGTAGACAGTAAACAATTACAGATTGATATCTTTTTGGCTCAGAAGTAGTAGGTGATCTTTTAAATTAGTGCTGCAGAGTGTAGTATTGCTCTGATTAAGGCACCAGAATCATAGCTATTAAATTATGTGGGTTTTTTTATTTTTCTTCCTTCATTCTTTATTACTAAGGACATTTAAATGAAAACAGGCTCTTTGTTTCTTGGGAATTCATCTGTTTCTGCAGCTATTTCCTCCATTTAAAATCATAATAATCTGCTTATTACATCACAATGATTGCTATGGAGATTCTGATTTCATATACAAATGAGAATTATGATAATTTAAATGCAAAAATCCTGTTTTCATACAAATGATCTTAGTAACAAAGGGCTCTAATCCAGAAGAAATCATATGCAGCATTCTAAAGAATGGAAGTTGAGAGTGACACCCTGGACTGGTCTATTCAGAGGAAAAGTTGATCTGTTGTATAAGGTCTAAAGCAGACAGCTCTGGATTTGCTTAGTGAGTGGGAAGCTTGTGCATTACTGATTCCTGCTCAGCACTGCTGAGGAGTAACTACAGCCCTTCAATTACCTCTTTAGAGATGTATGTTTAAGAAGAGGACTTCAAAGCATTCAGGTATGGGAAATTTCTTACCGGATCATTTCCTGTCTGCTAGCAGCATCTCCCACAATTCTTATACATTCGAGCTATTGCCCTGCTGGCTGCAGTTTCTGGGAGCAGTTCAACACTGCTAGAACAGCCCCAGCTGGTCAGGTCTCCTTCTCCAGCTTGCCACCACATGATTCATTCCAAGCTGTATAAAAGCCTCATAGAATATGATTAACAATAATAGCTCCAATGCCAACCAGTAAACCATGTATAGGAGGCTAACAGGACTACAAATTGTAGATATAAAAATTAAATTTCGCTCCTTGGCAAAGAAGCCATCCAGGGAGGGTAGACTTGAAGAAGACACTGCTATCAGAAAGGAATATCGAGTATGAAATTGCCCATTCTGCAGCCCAGTGTTTCCCATGAAATGTATGAGAAATAACAAGCAGTGAACAGAAGTAGGGAGGAATAATAAAGTCAAATGAGATATGGAAAGCACACACTCCTCCCCCAAATTAATTGCCAAAGTGGCATGTAGCACCTTCTGGCCAAAGGAGGCCTCTGAAGAGGATAGAAAGTCCACCTGGTAGTATCCAATAGAGGTGTTAACAGAGAACTATGTTGCTGCCCTGTAGATCTCTGCAATGAAAACATAGATTCTTTCTGCTCATTACGTTGTCATAAACCTCATGAAAGGTGCTTGCCTCCACCAGCAACAGATGAACCTGATGTCTTCTGTGCCTCTATAATGCATAACCTGATCCATCTGTCCAGGGAACATTTCAGTGAGCCCTTGGCACTTTGGATGAAAGGACTTGAACAAGAATTCCAGTCTTCTTGTTGATTCATTTCATTTGATATAGATCCTTAGTGCTTTATGAACCATCCACATCACCCCACAGCTTTTCTGTAGGAGGCTGTGGCTTTGGACAGAATTATGGATGATCTCCTGTGAGATATGAGAAGATGAGTTCACCTTTGGCAAGAAAGATTCTGGGGTCCTTACCAGCACCTTGTCAAAATGGAACACACAATGAGGTTCCTGTTAAAGTTGCCAACTCCTCTAGCAGACAGGATAGTGACTGTGTGGGGAGGAGAGTGATGGTTTTGGTTTGGAATCACCGTCTGTCACGCTCCTATCCAATTTTTCCACAAACAGGAGAGCACCTGTGAATTTGGATCAGGACAGGATTTGTTTGGAGTGACTGTCTTGCAGAGTGTACCCAAATGTGGCACCGTGCCTGAGAGATGGGATCTCTTTGCTAGAGTCCTTGGATTTGCTGTTGGGAAGAAGGGGAGCTGTGTAGGAGACTGCCTCTTTCCTCACGGAGCTTAGGACCCACTTCATTCTCTAGGGTGGTAGGGGGTGAGAAGGTGGGAATGACATGGTGCCCCTGAAGGGTTTTTTCCTTATGGCCCAGGTCTGTGCTGGGACTTACCCACAGAGCTGGCTGACTGGCATCCCTTTGTCCTTGGATTCTCTCCCTGACATATTCTGCGTCTGCACATTGGGCTTTTCTGCACTGGAGTCGCAGCTCCTCAGGGCAGGGGAACCTGACATGCCAATCCAACTCTAAGGCCCTGTGCCCTGGCAGAGCGAGGACTGGCTGGCTGTGAACAGGCAGGTCATAATTCACCCTCTGGAGGGCCTATAAATGCTGCCTCACATATGGAAATACCACTCTGATTTAGCCTGGTGAGTTCTGGGCAGCTCTGACATGCCTGAAGGGGAGCAGAGAAGTCTGGTAGGGCAGCACTGCAGTGCTGGATACAGCTGTGACTGAGACCACAACATTGCTCTCTATGAGAACCAGGGGAACAGGAGGAAGGGAGAGTAAAGGTTGCTCATTACTTCCCAAAAAACAATTAAAATTAAAGCTGGAAAAGAAATGCTTGGGAGCAAAGCGAACCACCACTGAACTTCTGAAACAGAAGATATGAGTGCAATCCAGAGTAAGGGATGTAACCAGCAGGGGCTGTATTACAGGATTGAAATGCCCCTCAAAACTGCAGACAGGAGGACAATAGCCCATACATACCAGAACTGAGAGAGATGCTGAGCTGCAGAAAGATATATTCATCCCACATTAATGTTGCACATTAATTGGTCCACGTAAATTCTGCTGGTGCACTATAAAGTAGTGCTGTTTGAAACACGACTACATTAAAACATACCAGAGAACGTTTACTGAGCACCAGCAGTCTCTATCAATTAATGTGAAATACACTAATGCACTTTAGAAGTCACTCCCCCATAGAGTGCATTGCCCCACCATGTAGATAAGCCCTCAATATGTACTCCAGTATCATTATCCAAAGGTCAGCTACAATTTACTATATGACAAGAGAGGATTGTTGTGCAACTGTATAAGACCAAATCTGGCCTTATGCAACTGCATCCATAGCCCCCCCCTGTGAGTGAGCTAGGAATCATGATGGCAAATTTGGATTCAATGAAGCTGCAACAACTCCTGAGGCCTGCACAGACACAGAGGGATGAGTGGAACAAAGAAGGAGAAGCTTATGATAGAATAGGTGCAGTGCATGCAGCATGGGAAGCTCCTTTACATGAACTCACCACTTCCCAAGCACTTCCACAACTTTGGAGTAAGGAGCTGTTTTTTGTTTTTCTTGACACTTATGCAGCAAGCTGACCTGTCTCTTGATTGGCTCAGACCACTGCAATTACCACTGTGCCCCCGGCACCCCCAAGTTACTCACACACAACAGGATCGTCCTTTATAATGATAAAACACGAGGTAAAGATAATAGTAATACTATAAGCAGAATTGTTTCTAGCATAATATGACTTTCAAATTTTTATAAAAGGCAACTGAAAACCAGAAATTCCAAAGGATGTTATTGGTACTGAAATTTAATTTTGCAAAGGTTTGTCTTGTTACCTGTTTTATTCTACTGTGAATAAATTCTTGTTCATTAGAGGATAGTATTGTGACTATTTCACCACGAAGCCAACCGCAGATGAACTCAAAGATGGTCCACTCTGAGGCACTAATATGAAAGAGGTATTCTGCTCCTTGATAATAAGACCATGGCGGTTCTAAAATTGAAGCAAAAGATTCAAATGTGCTGTAAAAGGTTTAAGACTTCCTTTGGATTCTTACATAGAAAATTCTTTGCAACTAACAAAACATATGTCTGAATATACTATATATATCACAGGACAAAGATTCCAGTATAAAAAAAACCTCTCATTAACTTTGAACTATCATATATTACAAACTGACAGGGATACTAAGCCAAATTCTGTCCTGAATCATACCCTGTGCAACTCCAATGACATTAGTAGGGCGGCATGGCATATAAGCAAAGGCAGAATTTGGCACATTGATTTTAATGAGTCTCATGGGATACTATATTCCTACACCATCTGCTCTTGGCTAGATTCTGATATCTTTAGTTGAGTAGTATCTTAGTTGAGTACTCCCAATATGACTAAGGGCTTGTCTTCACTATGGGGGTAAGTCAACCTAAGTTATGCTAGTCCAGCTATGTGAATAACATAGCTGGAGTCGACGTAGCTTAGGTCAACTTACCCCAGTGTCCTCACTGTGCTAGGTCGATGGGAGACGCTCACTGGTCGACTTCCCTTACTCTTCTTGGAGAGCTGGTGTACTGGGGTTGACCGGAGAGTGCTCTGCTGTTGATTTAGCAGGTCTAATGAAGACCCGCTAAATCAATCCCTGCTGCATCAATTGCAGCAGAGTCGATCTCCCCAAGTGAAGATCAGCCCTAAGAGTGGCAAAATTGGGCCTTATAGAAGCAATGAGATCAATAATTCTTACAATGCTACTTAATGGAAGTTTAACTTCTATTAACTATTTTTACTCATAGCTTAAATATACAATTCCAAATAATAGCTTTTCAAGATGTGAAAACTAAAACGTGCTTTTTCATACCATTTATGTACCACTGTGGTCTCTTTGGCTTAACACCTGTAAAGAAATAATAATTAAGAAACAATATTTCAAACACCAATCATACAGCAGAATTTAACAAAAAAAATTATATTAGTTCTTTTGTTGGTCAGGTAGAAAATTCAAGAGGGGATAAAATAAATATTGGGCACTTAGTTTAAAAACTAACATGACACTTTTCAGCAACAAGGTAAGGCATTTGTTCTAGATTTTCAGCTGAACATTCATCACCACATACTGCTCATCAGTATAGGTCATTTCTAAATGTGCACATTGAAGGCCATTCGGCAAATGAAACACCAATATCAATCTAAGGGTACTACAGTACTGCTTTCATTCTATGCAGCAGAACTCCCATTGACATCAACACAGAGTTCTGGCATGGAATAAGAGAACTCTATGGCCCATAAACATTTCCCCTGTCTCTTCACCATAACATAATGACAAATTATAAGTAGCATACGTAAATTAAAACATAGCTTAACAACTCTTACCTTTTGGTATTTTGCATATCCATTCACGCTTCCCATTGCAATGCAATGGCAGGATTGTTCTATTTACTTTGTATGCAGCACAATTTCTTGAATCATCTTCAACATATATATTCTGTAAAAATGCAGATACAACCTGCAAGAGACCAATGCTTTCCTAAGCCCTTACTGAGATTCCCAGATAAGACGTTTAAAAGTTTTAATACAAAATTAAATGTGTTTTGAAATGCATACGTTGCACCATTAGAAAACTAATAAACCTGGGGTACCTGAAGTATGGTGAAGAACTCTTAAAATGGGGTCCATAGCTACTCTCTTCCTGGGCCCTATTCAGTACTCCTTACTCATTTACAAACCCTTTTTCATATAGCTAACTGAGTAGCATTAAACAGTAACTTTTTGCCATTCTTGACAGGTGCTGCCTCACATCTAATGTCATTTTTCCTCTGTGTTCAAAGTGTTGCATGATTTGCATTTTACATTTATATTCTGCGCTTATTTTCATCATTAGTATAGAGTGTGCTTTTGCTGTAATATGCTTCTGGATACAATTCTAATGATTAGATGTTTTACTGGGAGTCTCTTCATGCCCTTGAAATGCTTTAGTACTTCTGAATGCCATGTAGCATTTCAAATAATATTCCCACACTGTGTGTGACAAAGTCAAAACTTGCCACCATTTAAAATGTGGCACAAGAAAGGTGATTAAATCTGTTAATTCAAAAGCAGATTACGGTTAGCGAAGTGGATGAGTGTGAAGGAAGTGACTGTTTTGTCTGGTCACACTGTTTGGCTATTTGGAAGGTTTGTTTTTAAACTGTGGTCTCATGCTCAGATGTAATTTCATAGGTCCTTAGAATATATAGCATATGAATATTTACAGGAGTTCCATCAGACCACTCCCATGTTCCTCCAGACAAGGGGTTTCTTTTATTAAATCCAATCCAGAATTGCCTTTCTTCAGCCCTGTGACAGACAAAAAAGAAAACAGCTGAAGAACACCGCTGATATGTTTGTCTTGTCTAGCTTCATAAAAACCTCTTCAAAATGTATAAATAGCCTGCATATCCATAGCAAATTCTGGTAATTTAGAAATATCAAATTGTGATGTATTTTTCTGGGTTCTTAGCAATGTTCTGCAGAGTTGCTGGCATCAAATAAAATAATTTCTGCCTCTCTGATTAAAAAGACTAAGTTACCTATTTAAAGATGGCAATGTAAAAAATATTGGGTCAGATGGTGAAGCCCCTAGTCCCACTAGTGAGAAGTTAATGTGGTTACAAGGAGTTTAATGATTATTCACAGAGTAAACGATTACTTAGTATTGATAAGGACCTGGGTCACACGGAGCACGTCTTGACATAAAAATATAGCAAATTGTGGCTGCATACTGTGAGACTGAAAGCAGGACTTTCACCATCAAAATGCACAACCCCTAGCGACGTACTATAGAGGAGTAATTCAGTTGGTTTAATAGGCTGTTTCAGTAGCTGGGAGCTAGCAACAACAGAAAGACACAATCACATGCATTAACATTATTAGGACAACACTGAGTAAAATCTTTTGGGTACGCATTGCTCAATAAAATGCCAGCTGACCACATCTTATACTTTTTCGATGAATTCTGTTATCGAAAGATTCCAAATTTAGGGCCTGCTCTTACTCCCATTCAAATCAATGGCAAAACTCCCATGGACGTCAATGGGAGTAGCAACAGACCCTTTAAAAATAATTAGGATTAACAGACCACCCTATCATGGAGGGTCTGAGCATGATGAAAAACAGTGGACTATTGTGAGACTTGTTCCAGCCCAGGCACAGATAAAGCCGGTCTTTAAGAGGAATCACATTAGAATTTTGCTATTGTGCTTCTTTCGGAAGAACAAATTCATTTTCAACTTCACTTCAGTCAGTGAGGGAGATTTAAGGCAGTTATTGGCTACTGTTGATGAGGATGTAGAGGCACAGAGTTCTCTTTGTTTAAAAAAAATCTTTGGTGATATTAAATTTTATAAATACATGTTTACCGATCAAACATTTTGTTTAAAAATGTGTTCAAAAAATCCTCTTCATACACATGGGTAAAGCTGGCAAGATGTGCTCCAAGATCTTGGCATAATGCTTCTGCTTCATCCCATGTTCTTTTCATCAGGACTTTCTCATTGTGAAATACCTGCATATAAAATAAGTACCACCACAAATTTAAGAACAAAATTGATTTTGGGATGCTAATATAATTTTTTTTTTTTTAGGAAATGCAATTTGCCCTTATCTGTTTCTGCCACTTACTCTACCTTGGCTTGCATTAACTTTGAAATGCTGTATAAAATGGTACTGGTAAATTTGCAGTCCCAGTTCAATGAAGAAAAGATCAAGTGCAACAAGGAGTCTTGTATTCTTTTAGAAAATTTAGAATTTTATGTTTAAATGAAGAATTTTCTTTTAAACAATGTTGTCAGGAACAATAGGTAAAAACCTGACACAAATCAAGAGATTTAGGTAACCCTTTTTTACCTTGTAGCAGCTGAGCAGATTAGATTCCGATTCCCATCCAGGATAACATACATCCAAAGGTTCTTCAAAATTAGGCTCATTTTCTTCATATGATTCAATTTTTTGCTTACACAGTGACATAGCTTTGAAGCTTCTACAGTTTTTCACCTCCCAGTAACCAAGAGGCTGCCCTCTGCGAACAACAACACACCCTCCAGAATGGCCTAAGGCAAGGAAAACAAGAGTATTCAGCATCAGAACAAAACATTCTGTGCCCAACCAGGACATAGTTTTATGAATTAGTAATGGGCATCTTTTTAAGAGGTGCCCGAAGGTATCAAATGAAATAGATTTAAACCATTTTTCCTAATAAACTCAATGTTAAGTGAGACAAGGGGGATGAGGTAAAATCTATTATTGGACAGTCCATTAAATGATCACACAACTGTAGATTTTACTTTTTGATCAACAATATGATAGCACTGAGAACTCATTCTGGAGTGCGTATGATTGTGCCATGACCCTGAGACTCCATGGATTGGTTGAAACTGGAAATAAAGAGCTACACTGTTATAGCCTTTACTCAGTCACACAGAGGAGTGGGGAGTAGAGGTTATTTGCCTGATACAGCTGGCTGCGAGCAAATGGGCAGGGAGGGGGCCGACTTTGCAAGGTTTGATTGGGAGAATGGATCGACAGCAATGGAGTGTGCCTTGCACCTGGAAAAGAATGTGAACCAGTCACTCCTTGATCTGCACAAGCTGGCAACTCACAAGAATGACCCTCATTTGTGTGACTTCATTGAAACTTCATCCCCAACCTTCCTAGCTGGACAGATTACCTGGCTGGGTGCACAGTGGGGAGTACGTTGCTCATGGGAAGGTGCTGTTATGTGCCATCCCTTCATCAGGGCAGACTGTAAAGTTACAGTGTGGTCCAAAGTGAGCCTAATGCTATACATATCTTGGGCAGAGTGACGGGAGGAAGTGATGATGGCTATGTAAAAAGGGGGGCAAAAGTAATCCTGGCTCAAGAATATAGTGGGAGATATTAGAATTTAATAAGAAGTTGCCATTTATCACTACAATATATTACTCACTTGGCTGATGCTTGTTCCAGTTTGTATAGCTCACAGGCTGATTCTTCCCCTCTGTAGTTAGCCAGAAGTATTCTCCTGTATTGTTAAGGTCTTGTAGGGCTATCCAAAAATAGGTGTTATCAGTTTCCACCATGCTACGAATCATACTGTTGATAAAAGCTTGTTCAAATCTTTAAAAAGGTCAAGATAAAAATCTTGTCAGAATAAGATACCCTAATTCACATTTCAGTGAATAATTCTCATGAAATATTTTGAATAATGTAAAAGAGAGAAATATCCAAAGACATCTACACTTCCTAATAAATTTCAGTCATATAGGTGCAATACAGGCAGAATTTAGCTATTATCGCATTTGTCCAAATGCTATACAAAACAATCATTTAAGCTATCTAATTTGCATATAAAGCAATAACCTCAATGCTTATGGTATAATATATGGAAAGAAAACATAACACCCAGAAGGCATTATTTACAAATAATGCAGAGCTCAACAATGAGACTCTTCATATGCATGATGAGGGAGAAGTGGTGCAGAAGTTCAAAGGGAGTTACAGAGAGAATATTGAGGGGGGGGGGGGAAGAAAAGACTTGTCACAACAGTGTTTTTTCAGGATTTCATTTGGAGACTCCACAGAATAACTAGTGGCACTACACCAATAGCTCTGACATTTGCAGATGAAGATGTTCTGTGGGTGAGTAAGCTCTTTTAAATTAATAAATGGTATATTTAATCCTACTTTTACTACCTAAGTATCATTTATTGGTACAGCATTATACAAATAAATGCCTTAACCTATCAACACATTTAATCAGCTTCCTATTAAATTATATACAGTGCATTAAGGACCCAATCCTGCAGAGACTTACACACTCTTAACTTTAGGCACTGTGAGTAGAACTATTGACTTCCATGGCAATGGTCATAGAGTGTAAAGTTAAACATGTGCATGTCTTAGTAGGATTTGGGCCTATGTAGCTACTGTTCATTTATTTTTTTTTTATTTATGACTTTTTGCTTTTCCTCCATCCCCACAATCCTCCTTCTTAGTAATATGCTCTTTATTGCCAGAGATGATGATCATTTAGGATCTTCTAAGTATCATTAATTCTGAAGAAAAGTATTTGTAGTTGTCACATCAGGACCAAGAACCTAAACAATAAATAAAATGCCATGTTAACTACTACTTTCTCAGCTAGTGCAATCTGGCAACTGGAAACTAGTGTCTGAAACAATGATAATGTGATAGTGATGAACAGTTATTACACCTGTGCCTCCAGTGAGGTTCTGTGTATTCTCACTTCCCACTGATGCTAATGAGAATTGTAGATGTTCAGCAACTGCAGGATCTTTCCTTTGTAGTCACAACATGCATTACTATTCTACTAAGATATTCATAGAGTATTGGGAACAATATAGCAAATCACTTTCCTAGCAAGAAGAATCTCTATCAACCTAACTCCTGGATTTTTAAATCCATCCCACTGAATTATTCTCTTGAACCTGATAATGTTGTCTGTCATTTTTTCAACTGACTGGATTTCTCATACTTTATTTCTCCATGCCACTCATGTTGGGGGAATCTATTATTTTCCAAAAGTGAGCAAGCACACATCTGGCTGCTAGTAGTAACTGTGTTATAAATGTGTCTTGCCTCCCACCCCCATTCAATCACCTCCTTTAGACTGTAACCTAATAGAACAGCTATGGATTCTGTGGGTAGGCTAACTTTAGTTATCTTGAAAGTTCTACTTACTATTTTTCTACAAAATATTATTATGGTAGGACATTCCCACCATATGTGCAGACAGGTCCCTATTCCTCCACATCCAGGATCAAGTAGGTTTTATCATGTCTAGTTAACATTTTTCAATATTGAAAAGATAAATGGACAGTTGAGAAGAGGTTCACCAAACACGAAGAGATCTCTTCATGGGGTAACAAATGCAGGATATGAGTAAGCTTTGTTAATATTTGTACAGAAAGTTCATATGTGTAAATAATGATCAAGTAAAAAGATTAAAAAATTAAATATTTCCTTATATTTTATGCATATTTGAACATTACTTATTTAGAGCTTGATCCAGCCAGGTGCTGAGGACTCCAGCCCCAATCCAGCAAAGAACTGAAAAATGTGCTTAATTTTAAGCAAGAGTTGTTTTACTAAAGTCAAGCATGTAGTTCAGTGCTTTGCTGGAGTCGGGCCAGAGTACTCAGGATCAAGGCTTTACAGTTGTATCCTGCAAAGTAACCTCAGTTTCCACTAAACCAGGTATCTGTCCCTGTGTAATTTACTACCATAGAGTTGTAGCAATCTCACAAATGGAGCAAAAAAGGAGACACAACAGCAGTGAGTGGTGACCTACATTTCCAATAATTATATTAAACCAGGGTGGGGCGAGTGGGGAACCACCCAGGGTCCAAAGCCGCAGGGGTGGAAAAATGGGGTGGAAATGGAGGTTATGTAAAGGGGCTCAGGGAAGGAGCTCCACCTCCAGCCTGACTCACCTCAATGGGCCACCCAGCCTGTCTGGGGGTGGGGGTGCAACCAAAAAAATGAGGGGTGCGGGGGATGTGACCCAGTGTGCCCTCCCCACATCACCTCTGGGCAGAAAAATTATGATAAAAATGGTAGGAGACACAAATACGTTTCTGTCCCTGGGTGCTAAAATGCCTACTTATGGTTCTGTATGAATCAATTCCATGGGTCAAGTTTAGAGATCGGTTACTCAATTCTATCTTTTGGCAGCCTAATAAACTCCTATGTAACTAATAATTTTTATTGCTCCTACAGTAATAGAAAATAATTGGATACAGGGTTAGAACATGTAAAAGGGTTTCTCCTCAGGCCATTTGTCTCAGACACCCTAAATGTTTCCTTGGAGCAAAGGTGCCCACAAGCCTTGTTAGCATTGGCATTTTTTTCCAACTGTTCCACACAACTAATTCTGGATGGAATCAAACACAATGTATTTGTAGTAAAATAATAAATCTTGACAAGCTAGGAACCCCTCCTACAACATTTACATCTATGTATCATTGACCAATAATATACTTTATCATTGATTGATAGAATTTTTTTTTCCAGCTCTCCCCACTGGCTACATAGAAAGCGGAGCTGATTGATTTCTGGGAATATTTTATGATTTTATTTTTGAAAAAAATAAAAATAAAAAACTAGTTTAAATGAAAATGCCCTTTTCCATCAATAAATCGCTTCAATGGAAATTTTTCTCTTTTATTTTTTGTCAAAAAATGAATTCTAAAACCCAAAATGCTTTCAGTTTAAAATGCTGCCCTGGTGCCTCATAGGAGTTTGATCAAGGAGTCCAGCCTATAGAGGAGTATGGGAACTCGAGGGACCTGAAGTATTAAACCAACCCCTCCAATCCCCACAGCGTGGAGCATTATGGTGGCATTTCAGAATGGAAGTATTTTGAATTTTGATTTTTTCAACAAAAACTTGAAATTTTCTGTAGAAAAAAACCACAGTGTCCATTTTCTGGTAATTTCTAATAGAAACCAAGGATTTTTTCCTAAAGAGTCATTATAATAAATGTAACGTAGATAAGAATATGCATAACAGAACTCATTTTGGTACATTTATTTGTCAGAGACTTTAGTAGGAGTTCAATGTATGGAATAGTGGCAATATTGGATCCTAACAGTATATAAAGTAGAGCTAACTAACTCATAACAAACCCAGGCATTTGGACATCTGCAACTAGGAAAACTTGCTGCTGGAGTTAGGATATAAATACAGAGAAGAAAAAAGAGGAGGTGGAGAATTTCAATATTTTTCCTATCTATCTTTCTTTTTTCTATTGCTAAAAGATCACAGTAAATGCAAAGCTAACAGAAATAACTTCACAAAATGATAACTGTTTTACATTAAAATAACCTTTCATAAAGTTTAGATAATAAAGTCTGGATATATTTTGATTTATTAGCACTGTGACCAAGTATACAATTAAAGTTTACTATGCTGAATACTCTATAAATCTGTATACAAGGCATTAAAGTATCTGAACTGTTGCATGCTTGAATAAGTGTACATTTCTGTACATACCAATTAGGTCAGTAATTGCACTCTATCAAATTTAATCCCAACTCAGGAAGGAAACAATGACAAAATGAACATTTAATTTTAGTCATTCATTAATCTCTGTAGTATTATTTATAAATAGTAACATTTTCTCTATGCTTTTTTTAGTTAGAAAAACATTTGTTATGAATATCTTTGCACTGTCTAATAGGATTAACTACCTGTTTGTTACTGTTACAAGTGAAGGAGGACAGTAATAGCCACTGGAAGCATGTTCAAAACTTCGAGGGGTATTGTCGATTTTGTAACAAAATCCACCATGTCTCTCCCATCCCTTAAAAAAAATAAGGGTTATTTATATATAATATATATGCACAATTGGCTTGGTTGTTCAGCAAGTGATCCCTCTTTGTACTTTCTATGTAATCATCACTAATTATGGTATCATATGTGCCCCTTTCCTTTTTGCTCTGGTGGGGTCCTTGTGACCACACCTGACTGACAGTCTGATGAGCCGGGCTTTCAGTAGCCCTCTGATTCTGTTATCATCTGATGAACTATTCTGTTCATAAACTGGAGTTGTTTTTGATCTACTTTAAAATGAATACAAACACAATACAAGAAAGAAAAGGATTACTGAATACATATTGAAATATGGCTGGTGTCACTGACTTTGCTTTGTAAAAACAAGAAGCTAATATTAAGTTAAATTCCAGTATTCTTTTTTTTTTTTTTTTTAAAGAATTTTGTATCTCAGAGAGGTAGGTAAGTAGATGTATCGCCATTTTACAGAATCTAAAACTGAGTTTAAAGCCATTAAACATGAAAAATATTATATGAAAAGTTTATTTCATGATCTGTGATTTGTAGCCTGTAGGTATAAGTATTGGCTAGGTAAGGCATAGGTATAAATTAAGGCAGTAACACAATGAACCTACAAGTCTCAAGGCCTATAAAATAATATATTAGCTAAACTAATCAAGGTCTAATCCAAAAATCTTTATCATAAACAGCTAACCAAGGAGTAACCTTAGACCATAAGATATCACAAGACAGAATGCTGTAATAAATAAGTAAAACTGAACTGCAGACAGCTAACCACAAGATGCCAGATTATGCCAGCTTCAGATCATTTAAATTAGGAACATCAGCAGATATCCAACAACAAGAATGCCATGATAACTAATTGATGTATAAATGAGCTTGAGGTAAAAGGCCCAGTAACCTAAAAGGGAGAAGGGGCACCCCTACATTCCTTACCCTAGGGTGAGGAAATACAGATAAGGAAAAGGGGCTGAAACCCCTACTGAATATGCATTAGGCAAAGTGGACATCAGCATAACACGTTATAAAAGCTGTATCTTGGCCAGTGGCGGATTAGCCACTGGGCCAACAGGGCTCGTGCCCAGGGGTCCTGGAAAAATGGGCGTCCCTGCACGCCGCCCCACTCTGCCTGCCCAGCACTCCTGCCTGGAAGTGGGGTCGGGGCGTGGGTGGCTTACCACAGTCCACCTGCCCTCCCAGTGCTCCTGCTGGGGAGCAGGGCAAGCCCCTGCACTCTAATTCTACTCCCACCCCAGCAGAAGCGCTGGGCAGGCAGGGAAATTCCCTGCGCCTGACCCTGCTCCCCAGCAGGAGCACTTGGGGGTGGGGGGAGACACTGCAGGTGGAAGGGGTCGGGGGGCCCCCACTTGCTCTGGCCCAGGGCCCCACAAAACCATAATCCACTTCTGATCCTGGCCTGCATACCTTTGGAGATGCAAGATGATCACGAGTGTGGGGATGGTGAGGATGACAACTAACATTTAGGGTTTTTCTGCAAGGAGTGGTGAGAGCATATGGATGCTCATATGTGGGATGTTTTGACCATCTTATATTATCTGTCTGCTTTGCTGGGTTGGAGTGTTTGTGATTTTGCTAACTGTGCTATTAAAAATATTAAAAAGACAGAACACCTTTCCGAAATGTAACTGTCTCCTTCAGACACACGGGATTCCTTGTAATAGCCTTAATATTTCTGAATCTGATCATGAAGCAGAACCTTGCCAAACCACAGAATGCTCACTGGGAATTAATACATAATGAATAGATCAGGCAACATATTGAATACAGGGTAATCAGTTTACTTACTGAGTCTCGGGGGTACACGCCAGGACATTTAGATATGTCATTTTGGGATGAAGTGTTTAATTATGCTTGTTAGTTTATAGTTGTGATAACTCATTACTGATGTAGAATATCAAAAGTGTAAGAAACATTGCATTTTAATTCAACTGAGATGGTATTTGTGACAGTCTACCCCTTTTATAAGATGACATTTTTTGTACAAAGTATGCCTTGTGAGGTATCATTTGAAAACTAATAATTTGCTGATCATTACTCTGCTGGTAAGATGTGTGTGGCAACATTGTATGTAAAGTTATAATCTTCTACGATATGATATTACTAAGACATGTTCCAAGTCTGGAGAGCAGTCACAAACCAGTTTTCCAGAAACAAAAGGCTAGCCAGTGCCTCAGCCAGGTGTCGTCAAAATCAAATAGACCATCAGCTGGTTAAGTGGCCATTCTTTGGCAGGAAAGAGGATGTGGGCAAAAAATTACATCTAGACAAAGAAACAACTGGGGGTTCCTGTCCGCACACCCTTTCTGTCTCCTGAACCTCTGCTGGAGAAGATTCTCAATGAAGGGAAAGAACTATAAGAAGGGAAAGCAGACACCCTAAATTATCTCTCCCTTTCTCTCTACCCCTGGAATCAACACCACTTGAAGAACAAAGGAAGCAGCACTGGACTGGGGGAGGGATCCTGACTGAAAGAAATTCAGCCAGTTAGACTGCTGAACCATGTGGTGAGAGTGACCTTTGCTTTGAATTGACTTCGTTTATTAAATAGGGCATTAGTTGTGTTTTACTTTTTTTTTCTTGTAATCAATTGTGACTTTTATTCATTACGTGTAGTCACTTAAAATCTTTCTGTAGTTAATAAATTTGTTTTATTGTTTTAAACCATTGTGTTTGGACTGAAGTGTTTGGGAAACTCCATTTGAGATAACAGGATTTGTGCATCCCATTTTCTATTAATAAAATGACGAACTTTGTATGAGTTTGTATTGTCCAGAAGGGGATGGGCAGTACAAGACATATATTTCTTGGAGAAAGTCTCGGACTGGGAATTTCCTGGTGTTGCACTGCAGTGTAATTCAAGGGTGGCTGGCTATACCACTCAGACAATATAACTAGGAGTAACTTACATGCTGGAGGCTGTGAGAGAGCAGACCAGGAGTGGTAGCTGTCACAGAGAAACAGTATAAAAAGCACCCCAGGTTGGAGAATTGAGGGAACACAGCTATTCATCAGTCCAGATTGTACCGTCACAGTATTATGTGTTACAGCTGCATGCTTTTTGTTTTCAACTGAAAATGGAATGTTTACTTAATACTAAAAGTGGCCTCAATGCTGACCTTTGATACGGCAAATCCTCCTCTTGTTATTTACTTCTTATTATTTTCCTGCTCTGTTTTCAAATATAGTAAAAATGCCAATAGCGCAGGATAAAATAAATGAAGCACATTATAGCTATTACACAGATCTAATTTTTTTCAGCCAAGATGTTCACATTGGGGAAGAGATGACAGAGCTTTTGTAAAGGAAAGTCATGCCCCACCAATCTATTAAAATGCTTTGCGGGTCTCAACAAGCACATGGACAAGGATGATCCAGTTGACATAGTGTAGCTGGACTTTCGGAAAGCTTTTTACAAGGTCTCACACTAAAGGCTCTAAAACAAAGTAAGTAGTCATGGGATAAGAGGGAAGGTCCTGTCATGGATTAGTAACTGGGTAAAAGATAGAGAATAAGAGTAAGAATAAAGGGTCAGCTTTCACAAACGGAGAGAGGTAAATAGCAGGGTCCCCCAAGGATCTGCACTGGGACCTGTGCAGTTCAACATATTCAGCAGTTCAACATATTCATAAATGATCTGGAAAAGGGGATAAATAGTGAGGTGGCAAAATTTGCAGACAGTACAATATTACTCAAGATTGCTAAGTCCAAACCTGATTGTAAAGAGTTACAACAGGATCTCACAAAACTGGGTGACTAAGCAACCAAATGGCAGTAGAAATTCAGTGTTGACAAGTGCAAAGTAGTGAACATTGGGAAACATAATCCCAGTTACACGTACAAAATGATGGGGTCTAAATTAGCTGTTACCACTTAAGAAAGAGATCTTGGAGTGATGGTGGACAGTTTTCTGAAAACATCCACTCAGTGTCCAACAGCAGTCAAAAAAGCTAACAAATTGTTAGGAACCATTAGGAAAGGGATAGATAAAAAGACAGAAAAATATCCGAATGACACTGCATATATCCATTTTACACCACAACTTGAATACTGCATGCAGTTCTAGTTTCTCCATCTCAAAAAAGATTGATTAGAATTGGAAAAAGTACAGAGAAGGGAAACAAAAATGATTAGGGGTATGGAATTGCTTCCATATGAGGCACATTTTTGTGGTGTTTTGCAGATTTCCTTAGAGAATGGGGACTGAAGTGCAGATATAGAGTGAATGTTTTGTGAGAAGTTGATAAACAATCCTTGGAGTTAAATTCATAACTTTGCTAGACACTAAAAATCATGGCTTATTACAACAACCTATAACCCACTAACAATCCCCTGCACTGGCTTCTGGGGTGTTAACAGGTCACTTCACTTTGAACGGTCCCCTGAAATATGCATTAATTACTTATACTCAACAATGTGTTCCACCTTGTATTTAGCTGTGACGCTCTGAATACATTTCCCTAGACCTGAAGAGCTCTATGTAAGCTTGAAAGCTTGTCTAGCTCACCAACAGAAATTGGTCCAATAAAAGATATTATCTCACCCACCTTGTGTCTCTTTCACTTTTGTTCATCAATTATACTTGGCATTCCAGCCCTAAAATGAACCTCCTTCTTTCCTATGTTATTTTCTGCAGGCATGGTAACATTAATAGTATTAGTATTGGGAGATGGGCCCTTTTTACCACAAATGCCAAGTAGTAAGTAAGAGAAATGCCTGTTTTAGTGCCATGCTATGGTAGCTTTGAACATGTCAATTAAATTACTGAGGACCATAACTGCTCATGGATATAGATGTATGCAGTGTTGCCGTAGCTGTGTTAGTCCCAGGACATTAGAGAGAGAAGGTGGGTTAAATAATATCTTTTATTGGACCAACTTTTCAAAAGCCTGTGTCTCTCACCAACAGAAGTTAGTCCAATAAAATATGTTACCTCACCCAACTTGTCTCTCACTTCTCTCTCTATCATCAAGTAACTGAAAGCTCCAGAAC